CTTTGAATTGGTAGCTCACCTCACAGCCTGCACATCTCTTTTCGTTGTACGATGGAAGGCAGGCTCCGTAGGAGTAATATGAGCGGGTGTGGTGTAGCCACAGAGATGTCGGCTTATAGCCGTTATTTGATCGTCAAGTTCGAAAGCAGTTCCAATCTCATAGACACGATCTGGATACTCACTTCCTGCAATGATCCAATTGTGTTAGGGGTGAGAAACCAATTTTTTCATTAGATAATGTTTGATTCAACTACTGCTTCATGCTCACCTGCTATTCGTTTCAGCGTTGCTAGCCCTTCTGCATCTGCGTTGACAGCAATGATAAAGAGCTGCACGTTGTACATGTTTCGAAGATCTTCAGCGGCAGGAGCCGCGTTGCCTCTGAATTTTATTTTTGATCTTGTCCTCAAAGAAGTTTTGTAGAACGTCGAATGCTTGCTGACCTATTCTTTCCATTAGTTATCATGATCACTATGCGGGTTGCGTTTTCTCTCCCGTGCAACTTAAAAATGACCTAGTCTTGAAACTGGAAAATCAGCAGAAGCGCAATATAAGAAACCTGGAATTGTTGTCTAGCGGCATTGAGACCGTACAAAGCAATTGCAACACCGTCGTTAATCTTCGTCGAATCAGAAATTTGCTGTATCAAGTCGATTTTATCTTCGTAATGACCGAGCGCCACAGGAACAGCAACTTTGTCACTGGAATTCTATTTTTGATTTCGATTATCTTTTTTGCTATACTCAAAATTACCTGTAAACAACAAAACCAATTCGGGCAACATCAGGAGCGAGATCAAATCCGGCATCAACTAGTTCAGCAACACTTTCCTTCATCTCATCAAATTCTTCCGGGGAGAAATTTTCCGATGAGTCAAGCATAATGATAACGTCAGCCTAGAAAACCGTTTTTGCCCATTTTTGCATACGCTTGCATAAATTTCTGTTAAGTTGTTGGAAAAATTCCTCGTTTTTTCAAAAGTTTTTTTGAACATTAGCATCGATTAGACTTTCTAAATTCCAACTGGAATTGAAAGTCTGAA